AGGTACAAAGAACTCAACATGCTCCACTGATTTGGTCTTAGTTGTCCTCTCTTTAAGAGATTATTTGAAGTTGGGAAGTATCAGTTGCATTTTACAGACATGAAAACTGAGTCCTAGGCATTGGATCATCATTTGAGGTCCCTTAATAAGCCAGAAGTAGCATGCCTACAAGATGCCTAGTTCCCCACCTCCCAGCCCTCATCCATCAGACATAACTGCCTCCAGAACAGACATAGTAGTTCCGTGGGATAATTGCAATTTAATTGAACTGTCTGTACTACTCTGGAAACGCCTCTGCAGAGATGGAAGAATGTGTAGCTCAATAAATAAAATCATTTCTGCTAATAACTGCTTCTGCACAAGGATTATGGATCTAACCTCTGGGAGAAGGTGCCACTAAAAAGCATGTGCTGGGATTCGTTAATTTTTTTCTAAGTAATTCCACAATTTGAGATGAATGTGTACTGCCCAGTATGTTCTCATCTAGAAAATCAGTGCACCTGCAAATGAGTGTGTGGGCGACTTCTCTGTCTTCAGTGCTTGGGCTGTGATTAAAGTGCTGTGGAATTTTATATTTCAGTCTTCCATGTAAATAGCTTGTGTAGGAGGGCTTTGTCCAAAGCCAGGGTAACATGACCAGAGACTATAAAGCAGGGTTTTCTCTGGAGGCACGTGCAGTCATGTGGCTTCTTTACGTATTTGCCCCATTTGGGGAACAGGAAATGGTAGAGTTAGGTCACCAGTTTCCATCCCATTGTACAGTCCTGCCCCATTGGAAGATCGAGCCATGCTGCAGACCATACACCCATGGCACCCCTAAGAGCATTTCCTACTCTGGGCTGTGCTTCCTTGACTTCCTCACCTCCCTCTGCTTACTGTCTCTCTTCCTGGACTCTAGAGAAGCAAGGTGCCCTGATACAGCTAAATGCCCACCCATCACACTACCTGGTTCCAGCCCTGGCACTGCCGAATTATTCCTGGACAAGTTATGAAACTCCTCTGAGCCAAAGTTTTCTCAACTATACCATGCAGCTAGTAACAATATTTCTTTAAGTGGTTGTGAAGAACAGATGTCCCTGTAAAGCATTTAGCACAGTACCTGGCACATTTTCAGTGCCCAGTGTTGTCTAATTACCATTATTGTTCTGTCTGCATCCCACCATTCCCTTCTCGTTTTTTGTTTTTTTCTTTCTCTTCTCTGTGCCTGAGGCCTGCTGGTGTCTGATCACCCTTGGGGCTGGTGTTGGGCTACACTGATACTTAAGTGACATGGAGCTTAAACAGCCTTTGTCCCTGACAGTATGGGTGGTGGGTATGTAGGAGATGCTGTTATCTCTCCTGCTTTAGTTCTGGTTTTTTCATTAAGCCCTGAAAATAACACCTGCTTGTAACCACATAGATGCAGGTTGAATTAATTATGTCTAAAATACAGTATTCCTTTTCCGAAAAGGAAAATACTAAAGAAATAAAATCGGACCATGATTAAAAATCCACACATTTTGTATTATGTTTTGTACTACTGTGTATATGGTCTCAAATCTAATATTAGCTCTTATGTACCACTCAGTTTAAGGAATTTTTGCAGTACCTCCCAGGCAACTAGAGGCTTTCAGGCCACTCTTGTCAAAGTCCCTGATGTTTGAGTGTCTTGCTTTAAAGCTACCTGTGCTCCCACAGCATGAAGATGTGCTCCTCAGACTGCAGAGTGACATGTGTCCTCAGTCTAGAAAGTGGTCTTTTCTTGGTGTGAGTGTTCTCCTCCAATGGAACTCAAAAGCTCTGAGAAGATGAGCTTTACGTAGAACGGTAGAGGTCAGAAGATAGGAAACAGAGGTTAACAAATGACTAAAAATGTGCTGCACTGGAATTTTGTTGTTGACCTTTAGATCCTTCATTCCAGTCGCACCATCTAATAAAGGGGATCTTAGGTGTGGTCACATGTGTATAAATATAGATTATTATTTCTAGGTGATTTCAAGAAGAGTTGTTACAATTGGGAACCATGCTTTCTACTCGGTAAAATGAATGGAGGCTTCCTTCTCCTGATATTTTCCCTTTTCAGCTCACCTTCTTGTACTTTTCTCAACAGTTCGCAAAGGTTACCGGATCCAAGCTGACAAAGAGAGAGACTCCATGAAGGTCCTGTACTATGTGGAGAAGGAGCTGGCTCAGTTTGATCCAGCCAGAAGAATGAGAGGCAGATGTGAGCATCTGTTGGTTTTATGTGATCTGTGCATCATGCAAGAGTTAGTAGCTAAAGGGGATTTGGAGGTTACCAAACTTGGGCAGCTCTGAGCTTGTAGGGTCAGAACTAGCAGGGTGCTGGTGACACTGTCGAAGAAATTCGCTCATGATGTGAAGAGTAGAGCAATCGTGTACCACCTTGGTTTATGTTGTATCTCTCCACGCGGCAGTCAGTATTGCTGGGGCTTTGTAGTCCTGGAGTTTGGAATGCTTTATTAAAAGTCTTTCCCTACTGTTCCCTTTAAAATACATTCAAAACAATGACTTAAAATGTGGAAATTTGAGTATCGGTTTGTCCCAACATGAAGTGCCCTAGCATCGAACAGTCCAGCCGCCAACCTGCTGCATGGAGGCGTCAATGAAAGTGAAAGAACAAGTCTGGCAACTCAATCTGGGAAAAGAGGCTGGCATTCCTCTGAGATGCCTAACAGCAAAGATTAAGGGCAAGCAAAGAGGCAGCTCCTCTTCTCAAAAGAACTTTTTAATTACTGAGTCTGTGGGTGGCAAGGCCCCAACACTTAACTAGCCCCCAGCCCTTGGAGACTTTGTAGCTGACACAGCTGATTCTTGGGGTGGATTCCAAATTACCGTCTATCACAGGAGGCAACACAGGGCAAGTCTGACATGGACAGGCTAATTATCAGAGGGTGCTGGCAGGCATGGTAGTGAGGTCACTACGCTCTCTCTTTGAACCCTCCTCTTCTTGGAACCAACAAGAGGCTTGATGGAATTGTTGGGGAAACAGTCCCAGACTAGAGGAGCTTTATTCAGATTAAGGACAACATATTCCACCCAGTTTGCAATTCTAAATTCATCCTGTCTGCGTTATATCCATTGCTGTATCCTCCCACCACACTGGCTATAAAAAGACCATCTCCAGATTGGAATGTCAGGAATGCAGATGTCACTGCACTTGACAAGCTAGTTGTAACAGTGTTGTCATGGATCCCTGTAAGAGGCCAGGGACAGAGTGAGTCAGGGATCAAGGAGAAGCCTGTGCAGGAAATCTGTAAATCTCACAGCTCAGAGAAAAAGTTGACAACTAAGGTTAAAGCTGAGGGGTGATTCTGGTTTGGGTCATGTCTCTTGTTTGCCTACATTGATTAAAATGGTCTCCAAGGGCTGGCTGGTCTTAAGGTAATAGAATCTTATTAGAGTCAAAGGGTATCTCAGAGATGGCCTGGGTCAGTCAGCCTTTGCAGTGTGAAGATGAGGAGACAAAAGCCGGAATCAGGACTAGAACCCAGTTCTTCTGATTCCTAGTTCTGTGCTCTTTACACAAGAAACTTTTGAGCAAACTGTGTGTGGCTGGATACTCTGTTTGGAGACCAGAGCCATCTAGCTCATAGAGCTTTAGAACGCTAGAGCTGGAAGGGACTCAGGTTGTTAAATCCATCTCTTTCATTTTACAGAGGAAGAACGTGAGGCAGAGAGGGAAAATAACCAATAGCAGTGCTTAGTGCCAATGCCAGAACGGGAACCCAGATCTCTTGGAAACTGCAGGGTGACATTACCGTGTAGACATGAAGTAGGAATGTTGTTTACTTTGGAGATTTTATTCCAGAAGAGCAAAGTAAACAGTGGCGTACATCAAGGAAGTGGGACAAATCTTGACAATCTCATTATAAAATGGAGATCATGGTTTCAGGTTGGGGTATTGAGTAATAGATTCTGTATGAATTGAGAGTTTGAGGTCCAGACTCATGAATTTGCTAGCCAGGGTGGTCCTCATTTGCCTTGCCCTTGTTAACTGGGGGAGTTGTTTTCAGGATGTTTTTAGTGTGAGAAGTCTTAGAGCAGGGATCAGCAAACTATATCTCCTGAGCCAAGTATGTTCCACTCCCTATTTTTGTAAATAAAGTTTTTTTTTTTAGGACACAACCATACCAATTCATTTACATACCATCTATGATTGCTTTCATGCTGTAATGGCAGGATAGTTGTGCCAGTATGGCTCACAAAGCCTGAAATCTTACTTTCTGGCCCTTAACAAAAAAGGTTTGCTTACCCTTGTCTTAGAGTTACATTATTTGGTGTCTGTGAGGCTGGAGATGTTAATGTTCATGTTCAACTTGGCAGAAATGTTAGTGTAACATACAATTCAGACGGTCCATCACTGTGAACAGTGAAACACAGATAGCCCTCGATATCTGAGAAATGAAGAAGATCAAGTATTACCTGAAGCTTAAGGAAAGTGGTGAACCAACAATGTTATTGTTCCATAGTCTTACTTGGTACGTTTTAAAGTTGTCTTTTGTATGGTCCCTGGATTCACAGGGATCATGAGAAAGGGGAATTTCTAGATTTTATTGATCAATAGTATCTGAGTTATTTTCCTTGAAATAAGCATAGTCCCTTCTCTTTAGAAGGAAGAAAAGGTTTAAAACTTATAATTAAAAACTGCATGATTGAACTGAATATCATTCCTGGTAAATCCCCATGTCCCTGGACTAGGAGGCTGCATTGGGAGGTTCTCCCTCATCTTTGTGCAAAAATTCCCTGTTCCTCCAAGGACTGTTGGGGATGGAGAAGGGGGAAGTAGGGAGGAACCTGAGACACACATTTGTACTTTCCACATCTTATCTTGGCTTACCTCTCACTCAACAGCCAGGCCTTAAACCTGGTGAATATTGTTTTGGATAATATTTTGAAGTTCTGATGAAAGCATTTTAGAAAACAAATGGATTCAGTTACATTGCAAATAGATTCACTAGATTTATTTTTAAAGTACAATGAAATTCAGTACATTTCAAGGCTTTATAAATAAATAGTTGGGTTTTTTTTTTTTCTTTCTAGAATTCTGGTCCTTGTTCACAAGTGCCTTTGTAAAAATCTAACGGATGCCACCTTAGAAAATGAGGAGGCTATGACTAGACCCCCACCCCTTACATTTTTGAGCTGGGGCCAGAGTAAAAATAGAGGCACACAGGCCAGAAGTATAGCCCACCCTCCTTTTCTTCCCAAACCTCTAAACAGCTGGCTTGGCCACCCAAGGTCATATATACCAGGAAAACTTGGATTAGAGGGGAAGAGGCCTACCCAGGCTCTGGAAATAGTCTTGGTGCCACTCAGGCAGGATATTCCAGGTTCCTGGATGAGTGTGAGCTAGAAGAGGGGCATATGGACACTAGCTGTGCATTTCCCCTTGATCTGTGCACTTCTTGCTGTGTGGGGAGTGCACAGACCAAGGAGACCAGAGTGGGGTGCCTCTAAAGCATGTGGTGGTACTGGCTCTGAAGGCCCATCTTGGGACTGGGCCAACAGTAGGGAGGATTCTGTAGCTTCTCTCTCCCTTTTTGGCCCAACATGCCTGGGATAATCACAGCTCATCACAGAATTATACAGGAAGAAGAAAACATTTGAGCAAGGATGATGATGTACTAGGAGGGGCCAGCTACAGATAACCAAGTTCTGGAAAGCCTGCCGTAGGTGCAGCAATAACAGTGGTTCTTCTATTCCAAGAACAGAGCATGTAGGAAGCCTCCCTCTCTGTAAACAAGTAGGCTTCCAACTGGAGCCAGTTCCTGTGGAGCTAAGAACACAAATATTACTAGTTAATGTCTATAACCCACCCTGGACAGGATTGAGGCCCTCAGGCAGGAGTTTCCTGGGGCCTGTGATCTCAGCCTTTAACAGAAGAATTCCATTCCCTTACTGTTCCACGTAGAAAGCTCTAAATCATCGCTGATTTTGTTGTTGCAGATAACAACACCATCTCAGAACTCAGCTCCCTGCATGAGGAGGACAGCAATTTCCGCCAGTCTTACCATCAGATGCGAAGCAAGCAGTTCCCTGTGTCTGGAGACTTGGAGAGCAATCCTGACTACTGGTCAGGTGTCATGGGCGGCAACAGCGGGACGAGCCGGGGGCCTTCAGCTGTGGAGTATAACAAAGAGGATCGGGAGAGCTTCAGGCACAGGTGATGGCTGTGAGGGGCAGACTTGGTGCTGGACATGATGGGGCAGGAACTGGAAGGCAGAGTAGATCTGAGGCTCTTGTTATCCAATACCATCTCTGTCTACCATTCTGGGTTATCCTGCCATATCTCTTTCTATAGGCTGTTGAATGTCGCACATTCATTAAGCAAGGGGACAGTTGAGACACAATGTGTAAATCATTCAAGACGTTTTGAAATGGGTGCCCTAGACCCCTTGAGGAACCTTAACATATCTCTGCCCTTCTCATAAGTCTCACCCATCATCTCCATCATTGTTGATCATTTGTTTTGTGAAAGGTAAAATGCTAACCACTTTGTACTGTTGGATTTAATTCTCATTACTCTAAAAGGCAGCTACTTTTAATGTCCCTATTTTAAGCTGGGGAAATGTGAGCTGACAGATGCTAAGGAGTTTACCAGGGTGATATGGCCAACAGGTATTCAAGGCCAAGATTTGCACTCAGTTTTGTGTGACCACTTCCCCCTGAATAGCACCTTCACCACTTTCCTGTCCTTTACCTTGAAAGACAGTGGACACTGCCTTTCTCTTACCAACTGCACGGGTCCCTGTAGCCTCCTGCCCTAAGAGGTAACTTGGCCCTTGGTTCTGAAGGAGGAAAAGGCCCGTGTGCTACCAATATACTACAGGGGCTCCCGGGGCCACAACTGTGCGTGTTGCCTCTTACGCTGGCTTTGAGGGTGGGTGGAGTGAGATGTGGGGCTGTCAACCAGAGGTCACATCCTGATGGTCAGAAGGCGGCCCCACGGTGTTTCAGCACTCAGTAGACCACGAAATGTTTCTAGCCACACAACTCCATTTTGATCCTTCGCACAAACCCATGAGATACACGCTTACCCTCACTTGAAATTCTGAGGCGTGAGAGGTGCCCGAGATGATTTCATGCAGCCAGGAGCAGAGCTGAGGCCTGCACCGAGGTCTCCTGGCCGAGGCCCCAGATCGCAGTGGGCGCTCTTAGAACCAAGTCTCGGGCTCCCCGCCTTACACGCGGCGGGGTCCGGCGCATGCGCAGTTCGGGGTCCCGCGCATGCGCGGTTCGGGGTCGACTGACCAGTGCCTCCTCTGCCCGCAGCCAGCAGCGCTCCAAATCCGAGATGCTGTCCCGGAAGAACTTCGCCACGGGCGTGCCGGCCGTCTCCATGGACGAGCTGGCGGCCTTCGCAGACTCTTACGGCCAGCGGCCCCGCCGGGCCGACGGCAACAGCCACGAGGCCCGGGGCGGGAGCCGCTTCGAGCGCTCCGAGTCCCGCGCGCACGGGGCCTTCTACCAGGACGGCTCGCTGGAGGAGTACTACGGCCCGCGCAGCCGCAGCCGCGAGCCCCTGACCGACGCGGACCGCGGCTGGTCCTACAGCCCCCCGCGCCGGCGGCCGGCCGAGGACGCGCACCTGCCGCGGCTGGTGAGCCGGACGCCGGGCACGGCGCCCAAGTACGACCACTCGTACCTGAGCGGCGTGCTGGAGCGCCAGCCGCGGCCCGAGGGCGCCAGCCGCGGCGGCAGCCTGGAGACGCCGTCCAAGCTGAGCGCGCAGCTCAGCCAGCGCAGCGCCTCTTACTACGCCTGGTCGCCGCCCGGCACCTACAAGGCGGGCGAGTCGCAGGACGACCCCGAGGACGCGTCCGACGACGCGCTGCCGCCCTACAGCGAGCTCGAGCTGAGCCGCGGCCCGTCCTACCGCAGCCGCGACCTGCCCTACCACAGCAACTCGGAGAAGAAGAGGAAAAAGGAGCCCGCCAAGAAAACTGTGAGGCCGCGTCCGGTGCCCCCCCTCCGAGTGGGCTGAGCAGGGAGCCGCCGGCATGGCGGGAGGGCTGGGGGTCGTGAGGAAGGAGAGCAGAGCAGGACCCCCATCCCCATCCTGAGGTGTCGCCTGGGGGCCAGGGTGAGGGGGTCCCGCCGTCCTGCTTGGGGAATTTGTCCCGTGGATGTTAGCCAGGGGTCTTTTTCAATCTCTGTCCAGGGTCTGATGAAGGAAGTAAAGCGTGAGGCCTTGGAGAGTTGAATAAAGGCAGAAAATAGAGGTGTGTAGATAGTTTTACACAGAGCCTTTGGTAATTAGCAACCAGCTTTACGAAGCACTCAGCATCAGGGATTCTAAGCACCATCATAACAATAGGCCTTTTGGGGGTGCTTCAGAGATCTGTGCGCGGAATGTGCAGTGCATGTTTGTATGTGCATTCCTCCCCACCGTCAACCCCTCTTGAGGCCAGGGTCTGGTAACTTATATCAAATTCACGAGAATCCACGTCGCTGAGAAGTTTAAGAGCCACTGCTGTTTACAAAGGGCAACTTACTACTTCTTTCCTCATTGACATTTTATTGAGTATAAACTGTATACTGGGTACAGTGTATGTGAAGAAAATCTTATGATGCCTGCCCAGTTCCCCGTCTCTTCTGTAAGTGGCCTTATACAGACTTTATGACCTACTCCCCCAGATGTGAGCTCTGGACCTCAGAGAAACATTGGGGGACAGCCATAGATGTCTACTGTGGGGTGCAGAAGTTCTTCTGACCTCCATGCTTTGGAGACCACGCTCCAAGCACCAGTGTTTCTGCTCCTGCCTCCTCGCCATTTTGTTTTTAGTGATTTCAAGCTGATATTTTCTTTAGTGTGTAGTATGGAGAGAAAGAATATGAACATAAAGAGATCTTGGCATTATCACTAACCTCTCCAAAACAATTAAGTGTCTTTTTTGTCCTTTAAATAGAAAAATGCAATGACCAAAGTACCATAAATAGGGAAGAAACTTTCAAATGATTTCAGATTTACAGTACACTATCCACACTTGTTTTTGTGGAGCTATAAGCATTGTAGTTACCCTCAGAGGGCGGGAAGTTATTCTCTGGCCACAGAACTAAGTTCTATCAGGTGTATGTTGGCTTCAGCACCAGTTGAGGCTTAGGATCTGTCATCATAAGTCTAATGAAACGTCCTGAGTCAGGGTGAGCCTGGCTCTGAACAGGTTGTGGACTCTGCCCAGTGAACCATCTGTTGTTGGTTGCTTTCTTTACCTAGCGTGTGGTTTAATGTCGGGCTCTTTCTGCTCTTCCCTAGAATGACTTTCCAACCAGGATGTCTCTTGTGGTCTGATGTTTTCGACATCTCTCTGGATGACTAGAAATAAGATGCAGCCTACGGGGACAAGACACAATTCCAAGAGCCAGCAGGACCGGGACCTTCTCTGGCCATCACCTTGGAAGATTTGCTGACCTCTGCTTTGGCAAGGGATGGGAGGCAGCCTTCAAGGGAGGCTGATTTCAAATCTCTGTTGCCATCTAACAAGAAAACAACATGTGGGAATATTCCCACATATAGAGTTTCTCGCCCATAGAGTTAAACCTCCTTCCTTAATGGAACCAGGATTCCATTTCCAGTTTTAAAAGAGAATTAGCTCTGGACTGCTAATCTCCAGAAAGTGTCTATGCCTACAGTATGCTTTTCTATACCTCCTGTGCTATGCTTAGAGACAGAAGAATTTATTACTACTATTAGAAGAAGGCTTTCTGCTGACAAAGGAAGATAGCTTCAAGGCAAAATATACCTTTTATCCCCATCACTTCCCCGTCACTAGTCAATGACTATTGTTACACTAAAATCAAAAAGCCTTTGGTAAGCTCAGTGACAGTGACCTCTGGGACAGTCACAGAAATGACTTCAATTTGCTGTTCTGAATGACAATTCTTGAGTGGTTGGGACAAGAGAGAGTATACCTTTTGAAAGCTGTCTAAATGTTATTTCTTTTTCCATTCTGGGAACATAAACTGCTTTTTCTCCGTATGCAGTACACATCAGTATTTGAGTCTTGGACATTAAGGGCTCTTCTCTTCCTCTTCTCAACTTTCCACAGGTTGGTGCCACACACAGAGCCTCACCTCCCTCTGCACTCTGAGTAGGTTGTCATCAGGTGCCTTTTGATAAATGCTTAAAATACACACATGAAAGAGAAGAGGGAGAAAAAGAAGAGAAAGCAGTAATGCAAATAGAAAAGAATGAGAATGAATTTAAGAGGAAAATAACATAGTTGAAATGTGGGCCATTTCCTCCACAAATTCCACTCAGCCTTTTCTGGTTCTGTATTTCATTTACCATGAATTGTTTCTGCTATTCCAGGACACCAGGGATGTGGAGCATGTATCTCTTGGCCTAACTAGGCAACTCTGTAGATGCTTTCAGGAGATGAAGGATATTGCTTTCTCAGGAAGGAGCACTTCCTGTTCTCACCCTTGCCAAAGTGATACATTTTGCCTAAATCTCAAAGCTAGATCTCTCTGGATTTTGTAATTTGTGTAGATTGCAAAAATGGCCACAAACTCCTCCCTTCTCATCAAGAAGTACAGTGTTTTTTTCCACCCCTTGAATCTGGAATCGGCCGTGTGATTTGATTTGTTCAATAGCCCAATAGCAAATGTGACACAAGTAAAGACTTGAAAGTTCTTGTGCATGGGGCTTGTGCTCTCTTGCTGCTCTTGGGAACCTTAAAACCACCACCAAATAAATGAGCCTGGACTATCTTGCTGCATGATGACAGAAAAGGGCCCAATTACCCGTTATACTGTTTGACAGCCTGTCAACTCTAAACTGATTGCAAACATGAGTGAGTCCAGCCAAAACCAACAGAAGAACTGCCTAGCTGAGCCCAGCCCAAATTTCTGATTCCTACTCGTCCTATGAGAAGTTGACACACTTTATATGTTCATTTCTATTCAAGGACAAAACTGACTCTTCTTTTTTAGTGTTCAGCCCTGAATTCCTTACTCCATCCACACTGAGGTGTCTCACAGCCTCTACTTTGTCTGATAGGCTTTTATCAAAGCATTTCACCCTGCATTCTTATAGTGGGACACATGGTTGGGTGAAATCACTGGAATACAAAAATGCTTGACCTTGCTATCTCCTAATGCATCAGTGACTCATTCCCTATCTGTGGATCCATGGACAACCTCTGAAGAATGTTTCTTCTTCAGCATCTCCTTGGTTTTCTCCAGAACCACCTGACTGGAGCTGGGCCCTATTTTCATAGTATCATTTCACTAGTATCCATTGTACTTCATGGTATTTCCAAAAATGTCCCATGTTTGCAATGAAATAAAGAAACGGCTGGCTGAGAGTCAGAGGGATGAACTGGTATCATTGCTTGGAGAATTGGCCCATCAGAGGACTTCACATTTGCTTTGGCTTATCCCAGAGGAATCAGCAGGACAGTTCAACCCAGTGTTGGCACTTCCAAGGGCTGGAAGACACAAGCCATAACCCTGGTGCTGAGTTTTAGTCTTGCTAGTGTCCCTGGTCTCTGAAAGCCTAGGTCGAGTCTGTTTGGGCCCCAGTTCAGATGGAAAAGATGATGAAAATATTTCTTAGTCACCAGCTTTGGATTTCAACTTGCTCAGGCAATTTTGGAGAATATTGGGTAGCTGCAGTAGCCAAGTATCACTTTATACACTGTGTCAGGCTTCTCACCACCAAAGAGCACCAACTACAGAGACCAAAAATGTTGCTTGTTTGTTTTTTTTTTTTTTTCAGTTGTGGGCATGTATGATTTTGGTGAAGGTTGAAGGTAGCAATGGGAAAGAATTATGAAAATTGGAAACTGTAATTCCAAAGACGACAAAACTACAGACAGAAGATTTAAAAAATACAAAGAAGATAGCAGGCTACTGGAATATCCTGAGGGGTTGGGACCAGGTTGTCCTGTGTGGAGCTGCATGAATCATTCAGACTTCCAGGCCTTCAGTAGAGAGAAAAAGCAATTGTTTCTGGGTGTGTGCACAGGAGATAAGGTTGAATAAACAAGGCAAAACTGGCTATCCTCAGCACCCTGGACTTTTCTCTATGTATCCCTTTGTTTCCTTTCCCTTGAATAGTGTGTCCTGCATAGAAAGTGCTTGTACACGTTAGTTTCCTTCCTAGGTTTTATTGGGGTACGAAGTAAGTCTGTGTAGGACATAGTCTCTGTCCACTGGGACCCTACAATTTAATAGAGAAATAAGACATGCCCAAGAAAGAATTAGATTTTATACATGTAGTATGAAATAGTGCTATGGATAAATTATAAT